GAGGAGCGGGTCCCCGACCACGGGCCCTGCCCTGCACGGGGGGGGGTCCTGCACCCCGAGCCGCGCTTTGCGACGGTCCCCGGGCTGGTCCGGTGGGGGCGGCCGTGGGCGCCCTGTGGGGAGGCCCGTGCGGTTGCCTTGGCGCGGCGAGGCGTCGCCTGGTGGGCGCCTCGTTTGGGCGCCTCGTTTGGGCGCCTCGAGCGCTGGCCGGTGGGCGCCTCGTTTAGGCGCCTCGTTTGGGCGCCTCGTGGGCGCCTCGTGTGTCGAGGCTTCGCCTGGTGGGCGGCTCGCGGGCGCCCCCGGAGCTGGCTGGGTGTGCCGAGGCTCGGGCTGGCTGCCGTGGGCGCCACCTAGCGTACGCCACGTAGCTTACGCCACATGGATGGCACCACACGGATTGCACCGCACGGATTGCACCATAGTGCTTACACCGCCTATCGATCACGCCACGTTGCCCACACAAGGCAGCCTGCACCACCCAGCCTGCACCACACGGGTTCCGCCATACAGCTCATACCGCATTACTTGCGCCAGTTGCAGCTGGCTCACACAGCATAGAGTGCACTACATAGACTGCTCTACACAGCGTACGCATCCGCATTGCAAGAACTCGATGTTCGGGGTCCACGCTGGCCAACGCTTACAATGTCACCGATGGACACTTCCGCGCCCCCAGCGGATGGGGGCCTCGCTGTGTAAAACATCGTTTCTCATCCCTTCTCCCAATTCGAGATTTCGGACGGATTCCTTGTGGCCTGAGAGGCCCCGACCCTCGGATGTCTTTCTCGTCCTGGGTTCATTTTCGAGAGCCCTCGGGCCGGAAGGCAGCCCTCCGAAAGGCCGAGGGTGAGGCACAGCCGCAGGATTGAGCAGTGCAGCCCGCCCGCAGTCGGGCCGCTTGATTCGCAGCGGCCGCATCTCCGCCATGCTGGTCCAGAGCCACCCTGGGCTTTCAGGATAGTGTGTATACTCTCCTGGCCTCGGCCAGGAGGGCGTATGTACCACACCAGGGCCCAGCATGGCCCCGATCAGGGACGGTGCCTGCGGAGAAAACGCCACCCCCCAGACATCCGACGCCGTCACGACGCGGCTCCCCAGAGGTCTGGACCCCTACCCGGGGACCGGCTGTCCGTCCTGAGTCGTTTTTGGGGTATACCTTTGGGCCCATTTTGAGGGCCCCTCGAAGCCGAAAAAAGACCCAAGAAACTCACGTCGTGATTCGTTGACGTCGCGAGGATGTCAGGGGATGCGGTCAACCCGCATGGTGAGGATGGGCAGCCTCCCCAAGGGCCTCCTCGCATTCTTGCCTCCTCGGCCCATCTCTGGCCACTTGCGCTGGCCAACCCCGCTCGAAAAACGTTCACGTGGGCCTCCGAGGCCCTTGCATCCTTACCGCGCATTCGTTGGATACTGGTTGGCTGCAGCCTCGCTCAGGCACGGTGGTCGTGCTCTGATGCCTGCTGCAGAGAGAGCGCCGCCTCCCCCCGGCCCGCCCCGAAAGGACTCCGACCAGACCTCGTATTGCGGCCTCCTGTGCCAGGTCGACTCGGAGTGCCCGACCGGGGCCACGTGCAGGAAGGTCATTGCCGTCGTCGTCGTCGTCATCGTCGTTGTCTTACCCAGATATCCGACGATGTCTTTTTGCAATCCCGCAGTTTTGTTGTCCTTCATTTCGGCCTCTGGGCCCGCCATTGCCCCGGGACAATCAAACATGAGACCGGGACAAGAAGACCACCCCAGGGAAGGGGTCGGGAGGTTTGCGCTGCGCTATGGATCGAACAGCAATCATATCGGCGGATGTCTGGCTCGTTGTCCTCGTCGTCGTCGTCCTCTTCTTCGTCGTTCTCTGTCGTCATCGTCGTTCTGTCGTCCTCGTCGTCGTTGTCATCCTCGTCGTTGTCCTCGTCGTACGGTGCCCTTGGGCAAGGTGGTGGATTTGTCTTCCTCTGCCTCCTCAGGTCACTGGCAGTATTGAAGTCAGCGTGTGCATCCACCCCTTGTCTTTCGACCAGTGGGCCAAGACATCTGGCTCCAGGCGGAAGTTCACGGTGGCCGGAGGACGCCAACTAGGCATACGCCAACGCCGGCCTTGGCTGCGCCAATCTTGGCCACTGGATCGGTGCAGATGATCTCTTGGCGAAGCCAGCAGGGCGTATACACCGATCCTGGGCCCGGGATTGGCCTGGCCAGAGCCGGTGTTGGAGTATGACTCGCGTCCTCCTGATGAGGTGGGCTGGCCCGTGAAGGCAGGCTCCCAGGCGAGCGGCTTTCAGATCGCGAAGGCGTACTCAGCGCTGCAGAGCCTGAAGCGCAGGTACAGCATCGCGGATGGCGACGCAGACGTCCTCATCGTCAAGGAGTGACGCTCCCCCCCGCAGCAATCACGCAAGCTACACCCAGGCCAAGAGACTTTGACATCATACCATCATCCTCTTGCTCCCCCTCATCCTGATCATATTTACCCCCCTCCCCTTTCTTCCCCCGGTTGGCCAGTCCTTCCTGCTCCTCCCCCTCCTCGTCCGCCTCATCCTCCTTCGTCCTTCTCCGTTTACCATGTTCCCTCCCCCTCTTATCCGACATCCCCTCTACGTCCGCTCCACCCCCATCTCGCCTCTTCTTCCTCCCCCTCGTCCCCCACGTTCACGTTCTCATCATCCATGCCTTCGTCCTGATCCTCGTCCCGAGTGTTTGTGTGTTGGCTTGTTCTGCTGCAGCTCCCACTGCTCCATCTATCCCTCCCTCTCCTCCGTCCTCGCCTCCTCCAGTGTCCTTCATCCGTGTGCCTTCTCCGGATTCCTCCCAATCCCTTCTCTTTTCTGGGCCCTCCTCCCCCCTCCTTCCCCTCCCTCAGGTCTCCCCCCCTCCGCCCCCAAGAAGGAGAGGGAGGGGAAGGGACACCGTGCGGTCGGGAACTTTGGCTCAGCGTGTCGCTCGGCGGCGGGCGAGGGGAGGAAGTGAGAAGGAGAAGGCCTTCTGAGAAGGCGGCGGGGCTTCTCGGAAGCGCGCGCGCCTTCTGAGAAGCCGCCCGCGCCTCGGGGAACGCTCAGAAAGCTTCTCGGAAGGCCTTCCGGGCCTTGCGAGAAGGCCCGCCCCTTCTCCGGGGAAACGCAAGGCCAACCCGAGTCCTCCGTACCCGAGTCCCCCGGACCCGAGTCTTACGTCTCCCCGACTTCTCACCCCCCCGCCCGGGCTCGCCGCCGAGACGCACCGCCTGCTCTGGCCCGCCACGCGTCGGCGCGAAGCGCCAGCCACGCCCAGAGGTCCCCCGGGCGTCCACGCCCGGGGCCTCCCGGAGCCTCCCGGGCAGCGGCGAGAAACGCGCCGCCCGCCTGCCATGGGCACGGCGAGTGGCCAAGGGCCGCCGCCTACCAAACGACCCCAACCCAACCCGAAGGCTTCAATATTCCCCCCGTTTCCAGTGGGGGGGTGGTCGGGGAACATTGAGAAAACACATGGAACCCGTACCCCCCCCAACCCGAAATTCGGGTCAAATTCGGGTCTTCGGGTTGGGCTGGGGCGGTCTGGTAGGTAGTCAATGGGCCGCCGCCGCGGCGCGCCGAGCACGGGGCGTCGCAGCCCTGCCGCTGGGCCCTATAGGGCAGACGAGGAGGCACCTCTGCGCGCGCACCGCAAGGCGGCCGCGCGAGCCCACCAGTGGACCGCGGCTCGGAGGGAGGGAGGGGGGGGGGGGAGGGGAGGAGGGGGGGGGAGGGAGGGGAGGGGGGGGGAGGGGAGGGAGGGGAGGGGGGGAGGCGGAGGAGGAGACGGGAGGGGAGGGAGGGAGGAGGGAGGGAGGGGAGGATAGGGAAGGAGGAGGGAAGGGAAGGGGGAGGGGAGGGAGGGGAGGGAGGGGAGGGAGGGGAGGGAGGGAGGGGAGGGAGGGACCGAATGCCTCCCCCCTCCAACTCGGGCACCCAGCCGAGGTGGAGGGGCAGGGCAGGTGGCCGCACGACGGCGTCCGACCGCCACGAGTCAGGTCAGGGGGGGGGGGGGGGGGCGACGTGCGGGAGGGGCCGGGCAGGGCCTCCCGGCAGGGGCGCGAAGCTCCGTCGGATGGCAAGAAGTGGCCGCGCGCCACACGGCGCCGACCGCGCGCAGGAAAGGAGGCAGGAGGTCATGACGGTGGTGCGCTCCAGGGTCTCGGCATCGCTCGGACGTGTGCATTGTTTTCTCGGCGAGAGCCATCGAGGACCATCCTGGGCCATCGAGCAAAAAAAGCACGCACGAAGCCGAAACACGTACGGGAAATGGACGTCCGAGCGACGGCAAGGAGTGCCCGGGAGGCACAAGCTGCCCGCATATTCGACACGGGTTGCAGAGACAAGGGCCGCTGCATACTCCAGAGTTCCTGGGGCGCACGCTGGGCCAATCGCACCATGACGCGATTCTCGTCGTGAGGACGTGGAGGATGACGAGGAGGAGGGAGAGGGTGGTATCGTGGTCGTCGCGTCGTCATCGGTGAGGATGTGGAGGATGACGAGGAGTAGGGAGAGGGTGGTATCGTGGTCGTCGCGTCGTCATCGTGGCCGTCGTCGTCAAGTCGCCGCCATGGGTGAGGAGGGGAAGGCGAGCAGGAGGAAGCCACCGTGGCAGGTTTGTCCCCGCCCCGGGCCCCGATCCCCGGACACTTCTCGAGGCCCCCGCGAGGGCCCAATCCGGCCAAGAACTTGCCAACAGCGCCCAAAGCTGTTGCTCTGGGCTTCCCAGATGGGTTCGGAGTAGGTGGGGTCCGAGGATCGCATCGCCGATGCATCAGCGATGCGGCTCGATGTGGAGCCAGAGTTTCGCCACGCCGATGGGGCCGATGCCTCGCCGATGCATTGGCGATGCGGTCGCCGATGCACTGGCGATGCGACGCGATCCTCCGACCCCATTCACTCGGACCGCATCTGAAGGCCTCTAGTTCCCCCATCCTCGAGGGTCGGGGGCAGAATTCGGCAGGTCATCGTCGCGTCCGCCGCCGCCGCAATCGCCGCCGCCGTCGTCGAGCAGCTGCCCTCAGCGCGGCCTCCTCGGCGGCGTCGTCGGCGCTGTCGTCGTCGCCCGGCCAGGCGAGATGGATCGCCCAGACCCCTGCCCCCGGAGGCCCCCAAAGCGGGCGACGCAACTGGCCGCCTCGGTTCTTCCGAGGCGCCCGGTGTCTGGGGTCGCCGCAGCCGCCGAGCAGCTGCCCTCCTGGCAGCACCTTCAGACAGCTCGGCCGACGTCGTCGACGCCCGACGACGCAGACGTCGGGCGCCGCGGACGTCGTAAAACCACGAGAGGATCTAGGCCTCCCAGGTGGGGTCCGAGTAGATGGGGTCGGAATATCGCGCCGCATCGCCGATACTTCGGCGACGGGCTCGATTTGGAGCCCCATTTTACCCACGCTGACGTCGCCGATGCATCGGAGATGCGGCGCGATGCTCCGACCCCATCTACTCGGACCCCATCTGAGTGGTCTCTACAGGAGCCCTGTAGACCGAATATTTCTGCGGTGTCTCTCGAGCCCAGAGGGCACCAGGGTCCGAAGCAGGGCGAGATCGCCCAGTGCGAAAAAAGCGCGACGCCAGGATCTCAGGGGAGGACGTCGGCGCCGTCGACGTCGCGAGGTTTCGCAACTCGGCCTCCCAGAGGTCGCGACGCCCACCCGGGCACCGGCTGACCATCCCGAGCCGTTTTCTGACGGCCCCTGGGCCCAGGGAGGTCCGAGGCCGAGAGATCGCCGTCATTTTTCCTCGCGACGCGAGCCGAGGCATGCTACAGTCGGGCCGAGGCATAAGATCGAGGTCGGTTCGGGAAGGGTGGCCCCGTGTTCTTCGTGCTTGCTGGATGTTCTTGTGTACATCCCTGGGGAGGGTACCCTTGGATGTTCTCTGCGTTCTGGCCGACGGAGGGTCTCGTGCTCTTTTGAGGGATGCTTTTCTGGCCTCGGTCCGACTGAGTGTCTTGCTTTTGGTCAGAACTGGGCCCCCGGAAGTTCCGACCATGTCCCCTACCATTTCCCCAGGACCAGGTCGGCTTCATCCTGACTTGTTCTGTTCACGGCCTCCAGGGGCCCCGGCGAGGGCCCCGGGAGGCCGAGAGAGGCAAACAGAGCAAGACAATATCTCGTCGTGCTTTCTGTCGCAACGCGAGCCTCGCACAATCAAAGTCGTCACTAGAACGGAGTGGCGACGGCGGCGGCGACAGGCGGCGACAAGCTGGTCGAGGCGACAGCCAGGCCCAGTTCCAGAAAGCGAAACAAGCACCCTTTCAGTGCAAACGCCGCGCAGGGGAACATACCTCGTCGTGATTTTTCCGCCGGGCGAGTATGTCTGGGAGGATGTCCGGGTGGGCCGCCGACGCCGGTCCAGAGGAGCTGGTCGATGAAGACGGTCCCAGGGCCCACAGGAGGGCCCTGGAGGCCGAAAAGTTACCATAAATCGGGAGCCTTGAAACGGGTGTCGAACAAACGGAGGTCAGCCAGAGCGCCGGATGCTGCAGGATCCTGCTGAGCCAGGGGCGCATTGACCCAGGCTTTCGCGCAGGATCCGGCAGGATCGTGCAGGTTCTTGCGGGACCCTGCAAAGCTCGACTGACTTGGGTTTGCATTGACCCAGCTTAGGAACTCCCCAACATGTTTTCCGTCGTGGCGCGGCAGGGGCCATCAGCTCGCGCGTCCGAGCAATTCGGGGTTTCTGCATTTCGAGTTGTCCCGCACGCAAGGGCAAGATGCAAAGAAGAGAGCCTGCCGCAGAGAAAGGATGAGGAAGAGGAAGAGGAAGGCGCACTATCCCCGAAGAGAATTTCCATGGTGTTTCCTATGAGGGAAATCCTGGAGGCCTCTTGCGGCGCGCACTTTTTGTACTGTCTAGTTCCATCCGATTATGGGACGACGTTCGCGACGTTCCGACGGGTGTCCGATGTTCATCCGACGTGCGTCGACGTCAATCCGATGTGGATCCGACGCAGATTGGGTCTCAAGCTGCCGATCCAGGTCTCCAGGATCTTCCTCATAGGCTTTCTCGCGGCGCGAGGGGATGCCAGGGTCTCGGCGTCGCCCCAACATACTAATAACATTTGTTCGTCGTCCCCCCCCAAGGGGCGACTCTCGCACCGAGAGATCTCGAGGCACGTGCGCCGTGGCGGGCGCTTCCTGGCCGCACCGCTCGGGAAGCGCGATTCCGCGAGACGGGCATGCTGCATGCTCGGGTCCGACGCGCGCCTCCGGGTGTCTCAGAGCGTGAATCACCTACCCCGCTTTCGCTTCCAGGCAAAACCAAGTCATACCACGCGCCTCCTCGTCAAGCGGCCTGACCAGTACAGGCCGTAGTTTGGCATCGCTTGGTATCTCTTGGAAGCGAGGGTGGTCAAAAGCGAGGTTGGTCAGAAGCGAGGGTGGTCAAAAGCGAGGTGTCTCCGTGCCTCCCCTGCCGGCCGCCCCCGCGCGCCTGGAGAGGAGCTGCTCTCGGCGGCGTCCTCCGCAACGGCGGCCGCGTCCACGGCCGCAGGGGCCCGCGCCGCCGCGGCGGCGCCGCCGGCGCCCTCGCAGGCGCGCGCGCGCGTGCGCGGAGGGCCTCGCGCCTCGGGCTTCGGGTCCGCGAGCGGCAGGGGCAGGAGGGAGGAGGAGCTGGACGGGGGAGGAGGAGCTGGATGGGGGAGGAGGGGGGAAGGAGGAAGGGGGAGAAGGAGGAGGAGGAGGAGGGGCAGGAGGAGGAGGGTGAGGCGAATGAGGAGGCGGACGAGGAGGGGAGCAGGAAGGGGACGGCGAGGAGGCGGGACGAGAATGGATCAGAGGATTGCGAGCGAGCCTGCCCGCCCCCTCCCCTTCCCCTCCACTCCCCATCCGCCCCATTCTTCCGCCCCCCCACCCCGACGCCCTCCTTCGCACCCCCCCTCCCCTCCCCTCCCTCCTATTCATCCCCTCCCTCCCAGCACCTTGACATCCTCGCGTCGAGACAGATTCACGGCCGAAGGGTGTCGACAATTTTCGGCCTCTGGGAGCCCTCACCCGGCCCCGAGGCCGTCAACTTAACGAGTCGGGACGACAAGCCGGTCCCCTTGGAGGGGTCCAGAGAACTCTCAGGGTGCCACGCTGCAGAAAACCACGTCGTCGGACGTCTGCGAAGAGACGGGCTGGGCAGACGGCGGCTGCCAGCGCGGCCCCGAGGGCCCCCCCCTGCCCCCGAGGGATTCCTGAGCCCCTGGGAGCACGACATTGGCGTCTTCGGGAGCAACATGGCGCGGGGGTTGCCCGGCGTCGAGAAGGAGATCCACGACACCATCTGGAATGTGGAGCACATCGAGAATCGCGGCGTCGCCACCATGCTGCTGCGGAGCGTCCTGATGATCGCTGCTGTCTACCTCGTGGGGGGCGCCGTGTACAAGAATCAGACCTACGGTTCTGTGTGTCCCGGCCGCCAGGACAAACTCCGCCTCGGATGCAGCGGTTGCCGTGGGCTTGCCGCGGTGCCGGCGTCGTCTACTTTGGCGCTGGACGCATGGTTTGCCGTGGGTTTGCCGTGGTGTCGGCGTCGTCCATTTGGGTGCGTCGAGAACAAGCGACCTGGCGATACATATATATATATATATATATATATATAGATGGTTGCCCCCCCAACATCTCACTCGTTAGTATATGTTTTGTTTCTCCGTATGTTGATGATTTATCTGCTCTCTCTCTCTCTCTCTCTGTTTCTTTCTCTCTCTCTCTCTGTCTGTCTCTCTCTTCTCTCCCTCTTCCTCCTCCGCCTCCGCATCCTCCTCCTGGCGCCCTCGGTGCAAGGAAACGCTGTGTATGTCTAGTTTGTGTGGTTGTTTTGGTTTGGGAAGCAAGGAAACACTGCGTATGTGCTTTGGTTTTCTGGGGGTCAATGCCCGCACGGGCCTCCCTCCCGGCACCTTTCTTTGCGCCCCCAAGACCAAAAACAAGCAAATCACAATTTTCGGCGCCCTCGGTGCACGTAGCAGGTTCTTTGGTTCAGGTGTTTTGTGTTTGTCTTTTGGGTCTTCGAAGCAAGGAAGCATTGCGTTTGTTGGTTTTAGTTTAGGGAATGTCACCCTCGCAAAAGTCACACCTTTATCTTTGATGTGGATTCGCCCTCATCTCCTTCTTACTCATCGTCTCCTTCCCCTTCCTGCTTCTCCAACACACAACTCTTCCTTAATTTCTTCAATTACACATTCTCTTTCTCCCAACGCAAGTCGTCCTTATGATTATCAGTTCGTTATATTGTTCCTCCTTCTCCGTCTTTTCCTTGTCTCTTCTTTCCCCTCCTCCTCCTTGCCTTTCCTCCTCCTTGTTGCAAAACCCACACAAAACGATAGTACACAGCGTTTGGCGCCCTCGGTGCCACAAAACACTGTGTTTGTGTGTTTGTTGATTGCGAGTGTGTCTGGTCTGGTGGTAACGAAACAATGCGTTTTACTTCTTTGTTTTTCTGTTTTTGGAAGCTCAAGTGCTCCCCGCCAGGACGATCCCCCAAAAGATATTAACCTGGGTTGATACCGTTTGAGGATTATTGACCAGGGTTCATATTGCCCCCCCCCCCAGAACATTATGAACCTGGGTTTGAATGTTCCGGGACGAATTGATTGGGGTCTCCCCCGGAACATCAGAAATCTTGGTTTATAATGTTCCAGGCATACCGACCCCAAAAAGATGTTAAATTGGGTTCATAAAGTTTTGGGAATATTCACTGGGGTCTATAATGTCTCGGGAATAATGAACCCCGGTTACCTATTCTGGAATGATAATACTGGAGGTGAGGGGTGTCGCCTGAGCCATAGGCGGATATTCTGAATCTGGATTCATGTTTCCGGAATGATTGTGATTTTTATGTTGCCCCACCCCCGCGCCTCCAAACTGGGATCCGTCCTATTAGAAGAGTGACCCTAGTCCGTCATTTCCGGAACATCATAAACTGGGATTCGTAATGTTCTGGGGAAAAAACGGTTTATTATTCCGGAATGAAAATCCGGCAGAAGGGGGGGGCGCCTGAGAAGGAGATTGGACTGGGATCAACCCTGGTTCATTATGTCGGAATATCGACCCCATATGCATTATTCCGGAATGAAAACGATCCGGGGAGGGGGGGGGCACCGATCCATCCACAGGCCAATAATCCAATGGGGGTTTCATCTGAATATGTTGAACTTAGGTTTATCATTATTAGATTATCAACCACGGTCGACAAGGATTTCGCGGCCACCCTCCCCCCCGCGGTCTCCTACCCCCAGGACCTCCTTCTCCCCGTCCCCCTTTACCCCTCCTTCTTCTGTCCCCCCCTCCTTGTTGCAAAGCAAGAACACCAATAATACACAGCGTTTGGCGCCCTCGGTACCACGAAACGTTGCATACATGCATATTGTGTCTGGTGTTTGGGAAGCAACGAAGCACGGTGTATTGTTGACTTGCTGTTTTCTTTGGCTTGGGAGGCTCAAGTGTTCCCCGCGCCCCCACTCACACCACATCCTCCTTTTCTTCCAGGGCCCTCCAAACCAAAACAACACAAACAGTTACACATACACTGTGCTCTCTTGTTTCCCAGATCAAAGATCCCAAGCAAACGAAGCATACACAGCGTTTCGTGGCACCGAGGGCGATTCGTCGCTGCCCGTCGTCTGGTCCTGCGTGTCGGTCTGGCGGCTTTGTTGTCGCCTTCGCCGCCCCGTTGCCGCCTAGTCGCAGCCCGTCGTCAGGGCCTGAGTGGCGGTCGGGCGGCTATGTTGTCGCCGCTGCCGCCCCGTCACCGCCTCGTCGCCGCCCGTCGGCTGGGCCTGTGTGGAGGTCTGGCGGCTGTGTTGTCGCCGTCGCCGCCACGTTGCCGTCTTGTCGCCGCCCGTTGTCTGGGCCTGTGTGTCGGTCTGGCGGCTATGTTGTCGCCGTCGCCGCCCCGTTGCCGCCTCATCGCCGCCACAGGAGTTGCACCAAACAGATATCAGACCATGTATTGCACAACTTATATTGCACCACGTAGAGTGAACCACCTATACTGCTCCACATAGATTGTGCAACATATATATACATGTATATATAGATCGCACTATATATATATATATCGCGCCACATTGAGTATATGTTGATCTACCACCCCCTATGGGATCATCCGCCCGCCATTTTGTGTTGCAATGTACATATAACTCTGCCCCGATCGCCCATGTGGAATGTGATCCAATAGCATCCCAGCGCAGCCGTTATTGACCCCCCCGCCAACCTCTGCCAAAGAATTGGGCGCGCACTCGTTTATCAAAAGCTATCGGCTTCCATTCATCCCGAAACCCTTGCAAGGCAACGGGACGAAGTGCACACGCCCGCGTCGTCGCGCGCTCATTCCGGAATCTTTCAAAATATTTGAGTTGTCGGCAGGATTTCAAAGCCGAGTGTCACTAACAGCTGCTGAAACACATGGCTACGCAACATCAGTTTCCGAAAACAGGTCTGCTCGCGTGCTCTCGCGAGTTCTTCGGATAATTGTGTTTTTTGTTCAACTGTTACACCAAATTCGACCAAACGGGCCTCCGGAGTGGTCGCGCGCGCATGTCGAAATCCGTCCAAAACCTTCATCACCGACGCGAGGACACCGTCATCGTCATCGGCGCGGCCAGCATCTGTGCCGTCATCGGCCTTGCCGTCGCCATCGCCATTGTCGTCACCAGCATCGCTACTATCATCATCGCGTCTGCCGTTGTCGACGTCGCCACGATACCGCGCCCGTCCGAGTCACCGACTCGCACCGAAGTGCCCGCGCGTCAGCGCGGCGAGCAAGACGCGCTGGGAAGTGCCCACGGTCAGCGCCACCGCGGCCGCGTCGTTCGCGCCAGGCTAGTTGGCCGCTTTGCGCGCGAGCCCATACGCGCTAGCGCGGCCGCAGCAATGTGCCAGCCAGCGCCAAGCAGTCATGGCAATCGCCGCCGCATGGGTTTCGCAAACCAAGTTGCGGGTGGGTGCATGGGATGTTTGCGTGAGCAGTGGAGTTTCCAATTTCAAGTTCGGCAGGGTGATTAGCACCACATAGATTGCAGTACACATTTTGCTCCACGTAGATTGCACATAGTAGATCCCACCGCACAGATTGCACTACATAGGTTGCACCACGTAGGTTGCACAAAATATAGTTCACAGCATGGATCGCACAACATCTTTTGTGCAAAATGTATTCATCACAGGTTGCACCACATAGGTTTCACGAGATAGTTTGAACAGCATGGGTTGCACCGCGTAGATTGCACCGCATACGTTGCTCCTCATAGAGTGTACTGCACAAACAGGTCCACGCACATTGCGCAGTCCATAATGGTAGAACATCACGGTTTTGGCCCACTCCGGTTTACACATACATGTGTGTATATATAGTTACATGCATACATGTACGTTTATGGTATATCGCACATATAGCGTATACCCCATACATATACAGGATGTTGTATGCATCTGCCTTTTATTGAATACATATACATTCACCTGCATATCTAACTATCCAGATGTGCGCACATCAAAGTATGTATGTATGGATATCAGGAGATGGTGTGTCGCAAGGTAGAGAGACAGATAGAGAGAGGAAACTAATATATGCAAAACCATAGACAGTCGGAGCTCCGCGCGGATCCCTAGGATCGACGCTGGGTCATCCCCCCACCCCCCTTGGAGTGCGAAGCTTGCCGGGGGCGGCGCTGGAGGCCCAGGATATCCGCGCGGACGCGTGGAGGTGTAAGTGTGTGCCCGCGCTTGACGACTCGCATGGCCAGCTGAGGTGTGAGATGCGCGTGGTTGGTCGAATGCCATGCCCCTTGTGGGGGGAACAAGTTATACCACTCTGCTGTTCCTGTAGGTTCGTCGGGCGTGGACGCGACTTTATTCCTGTCCTTCCTTCTCTTCTTTCTTCCCCCCCTCTCGTCCTCCTGTGTTCCTTCCTCCCTTCCTTTACTTCCCCCCTTTCCTTTTCCTTTCTTTTTCTTTTTTTCTCCTTTTCTCCCTCTCTTCTTCTTTTTTTTTTTCTCCTTTCTTTTTTCCCCCTCTTCTTTTTTTTTGGGAACAAGTTATACCACTCTGCTGTTCCTGTAGGTTCGTCGGGCGTGGACGCGATACCGCACATCGGCTTCTGGAGGGAGTACCCCCAGCTCGTCCTTGACGGGGTGCAGTACGCAACAGGATTCGGCAGGCAGTTCATGGGCAAGGGCGCGGGCGGTGGCGACTTCGAGCCGCTGTCCGGCGGCCTGTCGGGCCGCGGCTTCTGA